GCAAGATGGTGACATGAACATCCACACCAGAAAGAGAACAGACCAATATTATTAAGGCAGACTGAACCAATTGGAGGATTAAGTTCACACTCTAGATGCACATGGTTAGTATAAGTCTCCCCTTAGTGTGGGATGTCACCTGTTTGGGATTGTATGAAATCCATTCAAAGTTACACCCTAGATTTCCTGGCTGGTCTAAGCACTATGTCTAAGGTATCATGGTAGGTGGATTCTTACGAGAAATGCAAAAAATCTTTTTTTTTGCTGTTCAAATTGAGAAGACTGAGATACATATTTTGCAAAAAGGATGGGGAAAAAAGTTTTTTTACTTTTTAAGATAAAGAGAAAAACTGTTTTTTAATCTCATTAACCTCTTACAGCGTGTTGACACCTTTAATTAAAATTTACCGCCAGTTGTCACATGTAATGTGAATTGTGGTGTGATATTTCATTTGTGCACGCGAGCTGTTCTCTTTTTGTTTGTTTCATTGCAAGTTAGCTTTCATTTTTGTCAAATTTTCTTCATGTCAGGACAATAAAGCTCTTGGTAGTTTATCCCTTCTCGGACGATTTCACTGCGATAGGTTTCTGTACCAGAATTCTAGACGTCTGTTTATTTCAAGTTGTCATAACCCATTGTTGTGGTAAAATGACCCATGCCAACATCTGTCACTGCAGAGGGGATTTTTAGCACCTAATCATACCAATCTCATAAAAGGTTTTTCGTCTTTTTCTCTACAAAATAAAACTGCATATGAGGAAAAACTCTTTTAGTTCGTTTACGCGCGTCTTCCGATGAAATTGGCTGAAAATCGGTAGGTGGGTTCCAGGATACCTCCTTCGAAAAAGGGTGTCGCGCTTTGTTTAATTTCGCTTCCATTTCAAAGTTACATGTATGGCCTCTTTAGTAGAAGGATACATCCGCATTGAAAATATCAAACTTTAGGAGGGTGTAGAAAAAAAACAAAACCACATCTGGAAAATCACTAAGACCCTTTTCGAGAGTGATGTGTGAGAAAGCAATTCCGATGTTAATCGTGCCACTCTGATAATTCAGTGCAGAAGCAAACCAGTTTAAGCAAAGCAGTGTTTCTCGGTATTTCTTTTAATATCAGTGCGACAATAACTTTTTAGAAAATTTCAAAGATGATTGTATTCTATAACTATTAAGCTTTCAGAAAATGTATAGGGGCAATTCCATTGTTGTGAACGTTACATTCAGACTCAGTTTAGCACAGACAAAGGATAAAAAGGAGTTGTCCAGTATTCCATTTATGAGCATGTTTGTGCCTACTGACATGTTAACTGGGCTATACAATTTTTCCAATTGACTGATTTCTATTAGAGATGTAGAGTGAAAAAACACTGTCGTGGACGTTACATAAAAAACAACCACAATTTTGAGTGCATAAGTATTTATTCAAAATTCCTGTGAAGTGTCAGGGGGTTTTGTCTGAACTGTTCCAAATATATGCAGTATAGTGGTTGTGTGACCCAAAAAGGCTGATCTCATTTGAACTGACATTCACAGTTTTGCAAGGGTACTTGAACTTTAACGTCACAGACGTTACGCTGTGTGAATCATTGCCAATTATAGAAGACAAATCAGCTTTTCTGCATGGTTCTCAGTCATATAAGGCAAGATAGGCAAATATTTTATGTTACTATGAAT